TCTCCAATGTATTGTAACTTACTGACTTAAGAAGAGATTAAGAAAAAAAAATAGGTGGTTCTATTTCATTTCCTTCCCCGCTCTCTCCCCCTCCTCCCCCCACCCCCCAATATTACCAATAAAAGTACAATAAAAGTAGGAAAAGTTACCTCCGTTTTTGGATTTGGGATGGTTCTGGACATGTTCGGCAATCCACTTAAAATTGTGAGAATTCATAGGATGAATGAATAAGTAAAGAATACTCTCTTCAGGACTGTTTTACTGATTTTGGATGCAGTCCAAGTAAGTCTGAGAAACTAATTGCTATTTAATTAGCAGTAGTTTAGCTGATTCATAAAAATCAGTATTAATTCATTTTGTCTCATGCATAATTTTTTCTCTTGTTTTGGTCAGAAAGTTGTCTTCCCCCCCCCCCCCCACACCGCGAAAACTAGTGGAATTTTTCTTTATTTTGATAGTTCCCCCCAGGTAGCTGGAGTTCCTAGATTCCGATTTGGACCCCCTGAAGATATGCCACAAACTAGCTCAAGTCACTCTGATCTTGGTCAGCTTGCATCACAAGGAGGTAAACCATTTCTGTACTTTCTTTTCCGTGGTTGCTAGGATGAAAAACAAATAACACAGTCAATAAAATGCAATTCTACTTCAGGTACTTGTTGAAGTGTGGAAACCTGAATCAGTCCCTTTCCCCTGTATCCCTGTCAGCATGGAACAGTATGCTGTTCTTTGAAGAAAGCTCACAGCAAAATAGTGGCATAAGAAAAGGATGAGAGTAAAACAAATAGAAATATTTTCATCGAGGTTTTCCCTTTCAATAAATTATAATTAGCTCTGGCAATAAGTCAAAACAGTTTAAAATAACAAAAATCTCCATATTTAAGTACAATCACTGGATTTCATCAAGTGTACAGAGAGAAGACAGTTAATCTGGTTTTTAGCTGGCTATTTTAATTGTCACTAAAACTTTGTGTTGCAGGTTTAGGAATGTATGAAACCCCACTATTCCTTGCTCATGAGGAAGAATCAGGTGGTCGTAGCGTTCCCACAACACCATTGCAAGTAGCAGCACCAGGTAAGTGGCAAGAAATTTGCAGGCTGAAGTAAAAGTTGGAAACCTTGACTTTCCAGAAAAGAATTGGATTATTGTTGTTAAAGTGCTTATTGCTATGTCAGGAGTATTCAGTAGCTCTTTTCCTGACGTGCCTAAGATTTCCATAGATTTTCTGTAGGAAATTCAAACTAAATCGAAGTTTATTAAACTACTTTTCCTGTACAGTGACAGTTTTTACTGAAAGTGCATCAGCTGACGCTTCAGAGCATGCTTCTCAGTCTGTTCCGATGGTTACGACATCTACTGGCAATCTGTCCACCACTACAGAGGCTGGAGCGGGTGATGATGGGGATGAAGTTTTTGCAGAGGCAGAGTCTGAAGGGTAAACTATGACTTGTTTGGTTCACTAAGACTTGATGTCATGTTAGTTTTAATGACTCGTTTTCATGCAACTGTGCCTGTGATTCATTTTCAATTTAACCTGTTCTGGTAGGAAGGACAGCTCAAACAGGATTTAGTAATTTTGTGAAGTAGTACAATCTGACCTTTTGGTCTAAAACCAAAGATTTTCTTCAGATTTTCTTCTTCTGATTTAACATAGCTAATACAAAAGTCACAAAAAAAAAAAAAGATTTCTGTATTTTTTCAGAATGCAGAGGGTTCTGTAGTAGTCAAATACTGATGGTAAAGGCCCCAGTTTGAAGGACTGGGGTTTGTAGAGTAAAGGCTAAAGCATTCCTGTTTGTTAATAGAGAAAATCACTCCTCGTTACAAAGCAAGCATATATAATGAAGTCATTCAGTTAAGGTAGTGCAAGTACAAAAGATATAGCACAAGGGAGGGGAATAAGCAGTTCTTAAGAATTTGATAGACAAATGATTTTGTCTTCCACTTTGCAAGTGCAATTTTTAATATTTATAATAATTGCTATATTTTATATTATGATCAAATACATTACAAATCTAAAAGGGTATAGGTTATCTTTTTATGCTATATTTTACTTTTTATTTGTATTGGTTGTGTAATAATAAAAGATGTGTAGTTCACAATTTACCTAAACTTTATCTACTGACTGCAGGAGGTAGGAGGTTTGGTCATAAGAAAATGAAATGTTACTGCTGCAAGTTAACAATGCCACACAGTTTTCTTGATGCAGCACCAACTTGGACTGCAATAATCTGCCTATGAGTAGATAGAGCATAGGATGGGTATTCTACTGTTAAGATCTCATATTTGTTTCTTACAAAACCATCTAATCTTTAGTGAATGAGAAGTATATCCATAGAGGAACTAAGTGGTTCCCAGAACAATCTGTAGTTCGGAACAGGCTTTTAGCTTGATAGGAGAGCAAGTCAATCTGTTGCTGGTAGAGAACAAATATTTCCCACAGTTTGAGTTTTAGTTATTGTCTTCTAACAGTTTTTATATACTCATCAAGGTAAATAAAATGTATACCAAAAGTGAGCTGCATTTAAACTAAATTGAATGTTTAATTTTTCCAGCCCTATAATGCTTTTTGGGTTTTGTCTTTTGAAGACAGAGTCCAAATAACTTCGGTATTGCACCAATGAGTGATCTTTAGGCATAACTGGTCAGTGTGGTCCCTCCACTTCATTCTTCCCCTATGTAAATATACACACCACCATCACATTAGGTTTTTTAGTTATTGTTATGAAATAGCTTCCATGACCTTCTCTGAAAGACAATTAGTATGTTGATTATGCATCTGGAGTTGGGCTGCATATCAAGGAAATTACATTGTTACTTTTCTAAAAGCCAGATAAATCTCTCATGGTTGGGGCAGGGGGGACACAACAAAACAGAATAAAACCAGTGGGAATTTCTGGGGAAAGACATTTGCATAGGAATCTTTCTGCTCCAAGATGATGCTTTTTTTTTCCTGAGCTTTTTGAAACTGTGTGAATACACTTACATGTTTTTCCTCCCCCTCCTTATCTTCTAGAATTACTTCAGAAGCAGGCCTAGAAATTGATAGCCAGCAAGAAGAAGAATCTGTTCAAGCATCTGATGAGTCAGATCTTCCTTCGACTAGTCAAGATCCTCCTTCTAGTTCATCTGCAGGTACAGGTTAATTGCTGGAAGCAGTCGTTTCATATCATTTCATTAAGTGTGGGAACTTTTTGGACCAGCATCGTGCACTGCTGATAGCCAAGATACACAAAATAAGATAGAACTCTTAGAGCAAGATCACATTTTAATGCCTATAGTCTTAATGGCAAACAATCTTTACTTGGGCCAGTAACTAGAGTAGGCCTTAGTAAGAATAATGCTTCAAGGAGCAAAAGTTATTGATACTTTGGTGATTCTATCCACTGTTATGTTTGATGTCAGATTTAAAAATATTTTTTCATTCAATTAAATTGTCAACAGTAAGTAAATCACTGTTGAGTTACCAATATACCACCTAGCATAGGTGATGAAGGAAGTCCCAGACTTACTTGTTTTGAGGCTTTTATTTATATCAGAGAAGATGTCAATGAAATAAGGATGCACCTTCATGATTTTAAAGTAAATTCAAGAGCATAATGCACATCAAATCATGTAAACATTAACAGTGAGAAACTGTAGTAGACGCAGACATTCTTTCCTGCATTTTCATGTCTTCACAGACACAAGCAGTAATCAGCCTAAGCCATTTCGACGTGTCAGACTTCAGCCACCGACATTAAGAACTGGTGTTCGTGGTCGTCAGTTCAACAGACAGAGGGGTAAGTGTTCGTGGTTGCTCAAATTCAGACTCTTTAAAATAAGTTTTTAGTACATTCTTCCTGTGGGGACCATGTATGAAGTACTACTTTATACACCTGTGTTTGCTTGTAAGACATTAAATAATATAGCATCCCTGCCCTAGCTTTCAATATATTATCCTAAGAGCTCTGTAGTTTCGTTTTAGTATGTTAGTCTGAGTGTTTTTTAGATCGGCAAACTTTCTTCTTATGTGGCACTTGGTTCTTATCAATGGAGAGAAAGTAAAGTGCAGTAAGTCTTAAACTTCATAAATTTTTAAAAGAAGATTTTTTAAAATTATGTTAGGACTTGAGTTTAGAAATCTTTGTTTTTAACATTACATATCAGTTTCCCATTTGGTACGTAGGGATTCCAGTTATTTTCTCACTATGTCTTACACTGATTTAAAAAAAAACAACAAAAGTTTATGGAAGTATTACAGATTTTTGTAATGCAGTATAGAGTTAAACCATGACAATAAATTATTGTTTGCAACTTCTGTATTAAGAAAAATCCTTAGATGAATTATATTCAGTTTGGCATTATTTTCAAATTGTAGAAGACTTGATAGTAGCATTGAAATATAGGTATCTGGTATTTTAAAGAAAAAAAAAAAGTGAGGAGGTGGACCTAGGATAGATTTTCTTTCTAGTCTATCACCATTTATTTAATAACAAAAGGGAGAGACTAACTGATTTCAAATATGGTGAGAATGCTGTACTTGTTCTTTTGGCACAGGGCCTGAGATAGGATCGGAAGTCAACAGTGTTCTTTTAAATGACAGAAGTAGAATGTATCCATATCACCAGGCTCTGGGGGAGGAAGGGGGGGCTTGAATTTTACCAGAAAGGAAGTGCTCCACTGCAGTAGCAATTCCTTACAGAAGGATGAAGTATCGCATGTACCAATAGTTGTTTAAAAGGATGAAAAGGATTTCTATTAATGCATTTGTTTTCTTTCCCAACACAGGTGTAACTCATGCAATGGGAGGCAGAGGAGGCCTAAACAGAGGAAATACTAGTTAAATGATCTGTAAAGTAATTACAGCTGTGTATACAAAAGTGCCAGTTTGCCTGTGGTTGCTTTAGTGTAATGAAGCCAGAGCTTAAAGCAGCATTTTATACTTAGATTTGTGTGCACACATTTCAATGTCTTTATTAATAAAATTAGACAAAATGTCAACATTCAAACGGCATCTTTTTTTTAAAAATCCTCTGCTGTGCATCACTTGCTAGGACAGTTGTACCAGTCTTTGGATACAGTCTTTCCTGTGAGAGCGGTAACAGGTCTTGCTATTCTTTTGCCAACATCCAAACTGTAGTACCGATCTGAAATGAAGATATGTCAGAATTAAATTCCAGAAACTACATTTAGTACATGGAAAGAATCTTGAAGTTAAAGCCTTCCTTTTAATTTCATTTAGGCATGAATAACACATTTTTCATTCCACGTACATATATAGAGTTGAGAAGCTATAACAATGAATTTTTGCCCTCAACTTTATTTTTTTACATGTTCTTCTTTGTGTTTAGCTAAGTTTTACAGTACTGCTAGTAATTAAATCTGTCCCAAGAACAGGGAGTAGCGAAGAATGCTCTTATACTGCTAGAACACAGAAGTAGTCTTAAGAATTTGGAAATCAAACTAGAAGCAAAACAATCCTGCACTGACTACAAAAGTGGGAACTCTGTGGTCCCCAAGTGTGAATTGGCCTATGTTAAGGTTAGGAATGAGATCATACTGGCAGGGACTTATTTTAGCATCCTGTATTTGGATACGGCTAGTTCTTAGAGCTTTTTTTTCTGAATAATCCAGAAAATTCTGAGGAATGCTTTTACATGATCCTCGCTAGAGGGAAAGGATCTACCTAATCTAGAATCATGAACCATTTTGCTTTACAGGAAAAAATTATTTATGTCCCTCCCTTTTTTTGTCTCGTTAGAAACATAGTTCCATGGAAGCCAGTGAAAAAACTATCGATGTGTAGCGGTGCAAGGATTTCACTCTATCACTAATATAATATGTCAGGTTTTTTGACACTTCGTAAGCTTGAACTCTTATGGCAACGCATTCCACAACTGGCTAGTTTGAATCATTGTACCTTGTTGCTGCTAGTTGCCCTGTAACTATTGATTTTTAATAGAAACATCTCTCGATTACAGGCAACATGTTAATTCTCAAGACTTTTTAGTAGTGCTTAAAATTAGTCTTGCAGAATCACAAGCAGTATCCTCAACACTTCGGAAATCTCAGAGATACATGGGCTTCTTTCTTCCCCATCCCTTAGTCTTTTGAAATATATAGTAACTTGCATTAGCTTTAACTTACTGTAAGAGAAGGCATAATAATCATAGCCATCTGGCTTATTGTAGTTGGGTAGTGATATAGTTGAATGAATTACTTTCGGGAGCCCTCTCCAGTAGGCAGTCATTTTGATTTCCTTACGCAGAACTCCTGCAAGCAAAAGAAAACTTAAGTTAGGAGGTGTTGCAGTGTGGCTGCTGTAAGCTATCATTTGCTTGTATAATCTACAGTGAGTGAGATCTATTGGATTAAAAAAAATTAAAAAGTTCTATATTTAAAAAAACAGAACAGAATGTTGTGTTTCAGAAACTACTAAGATAAAAATGATTGTATAAAAGAAACTTAATAAACATAAGTTACCAGATGGATATGGATTCATTCTGACAGTCTGAATAACAGTTGGCATTCTTACTGCACGTTGAAAGCGTCTCCTTACTACAAGTCTTGGGACATAAGCTGGGTATCTTATGGTAACCTGGGTTCTTCTTTGACACTTCTTGGCTGGTTCTTGTCTGTACACATACTGCTGCATATTGCCATCTAAAATAGACATTTGTTTCATTTGGTTAAAAAAACAAAACCCACCAAACAGCCAGCTAGATCAGATATGAAAATGTCATTGATATCCGTATCACATGCAGGAAATCAATAGCATCATTTTAATACATCTACAGCTGCTGCAGCCTTCAGCTTTTTATATCCATTCCTACATTTTGAGATAAAAGCCTTGCTCTCTAAATCCAACATGTGCTTCTGGATGTAGCGATACCTCCTGCAGGCTCATTACAGTTACTGTAGTAAGTACAATTCCAGGGGAACTGCTTTTGCTGCCATCACTCCTATTTATCAAGGAGACGGTAAGACCATCATTTTAGGCTGCGTGAGAGGAAGGCTTGAGATCAGAAAAAGATTTGCATTTCCTTAACCTCTGCCTTTTAAATTCAGATAAGAATTCTTACGTTGGTAGTACATAATTCATGTAAGATAAGGAAATTACATTAATTTAAAATACGGAATAAGAAATAGGGATGGAGATTTCCATACGTAGTTACAAACTAGTAAGATTAAAGCCTTCCCTTCTCTAACTTACTTGAGACTAAAACAGTTTTACCACCAGATAAAACTTATTTTAATGTTTGTCCACTAAGATGCTGGATTCTGTCCCTTACAGTCCTGTCCATTTTAAAATACACTTAAAGATCTGTAAGTACTAATACAAATTTTTAAAGCGTCAGGCTATTTTTTGACCACCTAGCACATTCTGACATCACTTACGTTTCTGGTTTTGAAGGAAAGATGTCTTTCAGTCAAGAGAAATGGTGTTTTATTCTCGACTAATGCAATTGGAGCACCTGTTGATCATTTGTGAACTTCTGAAATATGAGACATACCTTTTTTGATAAAATAAACAGATTCTGGTCTGTTGTTGTATCTTGCCACAGGGAGGGTTGCTACTATTTTCCCACTTAGCCCTGCAAATCCATTTGCAAGAGGTTTGGGATAGCCTTTATCCATAACACCGTTAGTGAAACGCCAGTATAGGGGACCCTAATGATTTAAGGAAAAAATGAGCTTTAGAGGAAATTCAGTCTTGGTAATGGAGCTTCAACAGAGACATGAAAAATAATCGTAACACTAGCATTTTGATAACTACATTGCAGAACTGACTGGAACCACTCCTACATCTGTTAAAAACAGGAAAAAAAAGTTACAACTTCACAAAATACCTTCTGCAGACTTTTAACACCACCTTTGAGTAGGAATAGAGCATCTTAGAAATGAACTGTCAAGAGTGGTTACTGAACAAAGTGGTTCGCTTTCTAAATCTCTAAATTTTTGTGGGTAGAAAAAGCTGCTTGAATTCCAGGACTGAGTGCTTAATTGGGAATTAACTGTATAATGTCATTAATGAGGTGTGTGCATTTCATTATCTTCTTTCAGGAAGGGAAATGTATTAGGAACTAATTTAGGCCATGTGTGGGCAAGGGAAAGACACGATAAAATACCCGTATTTTAAAGAGTTGGATTTTTTTAAAGTGTGGCTCATAGGTAAATACTACTCAATTATCAGTTATTCTGTCAATGCTTTGTCTCCTAGCCAATTACAGGGGAAAAAAAACACTGAATTGAGTTTTTTCCTGACAAGCACTACCTCAAGGCAGACGAGGGGCGGCTGGGAACTTCACCCACAGTTTCAAACCCACCACGCTGTTTGAAAACGCCGTTTGTTCTATAAAATGAGCAACGCAGCCCCAGAGCAACACAAGGCTCCTCTTCGGCGGGGTCGCGTTTCAAAACCTGCACCTTTTTTTTAAGCCGACCTGCCCCACACAGCCCCTCGGCTGCCTCCCGCGCCCGTCACGCTCACTCCCCGGAGCAGGGGGCTCCCCACCTTGATGAAGAAGGTCTTGCCATCGCAGTTGCACCTGGAGAAGACGGCGTCGATGGGGGACGGGATGCCCCAGCCGTCGCTGATCCGGCGCCGCCCCGGCCGGCGGGGGCGGGTTGTCGGGGGCCCCCTGCCGTTCAGCAGCCAGTAGTAGTGACCTGCGCGGTCACAGGGTGAAACGCGTGTGGCGTGTGGGGAGGAGACAGGGTGAAACGCGTGTGGACCGACGGACAGACAGACGCAGGGAGAAAGGCACTGGAAACGAGGATCCCCCTCCCGTCTTTCCTCGCTCCTGCCCTCAGGACGCGGCTGAGGGGATAAGGCGGCTCCTGCCCGGGCGGTACCCCTGAGGCGCGGACGGGCCGGGTGGGGGAGGCCGCTGGGCTCCGGTGTCGCTTTGTGCGGCCTCAGAGCGCTGAGGCGGGCGGGCCG